TGGGGGTTGTCTCCCGAGCGGCGCCTCCTCCGTTCAACGTCTCACTTAGTAAGGTTATTAGGGCCCCATTAATAGGTCTTTGATTATGTTTTAGTCCTTTTTGGTTATTAATGGAAAGTTTTCAATGGCTGTCCCTGAAAGTTACGCGATGTTTGTCATCAGAGGATTCACAGTATATTTGTTCACTCATCTTCCTGACAAGATTTAGCGAGAATGATTTCTTAATCTCTTGCCCTTTTATTTCAAGATCTTGAGGCGTGATTCCGCGAGAATGTCGATTTTTTTTTTTTTTTTTTTTTTTTTTTTTGTATCCAGATAGACGATGGAAAATCTAAAACTACATTGTCATACTTAAGATGCATATTCCATTTCAGTTCTACATAGTGATAACTCATTGGCTTAACTTAAGATAGTATAAAATGGTCGATTTTACGATGGATTAAAACAGTGCTTACTACACTCGTAGTGATAACCTGCTCATCCAAGCCTTCCATAATCTTTGTTTCTCCTTTTACTCTTTCCTTTCCTCTGATAATGGCCATTTCCAAAGCAAAATATTTTTTTCCAGTCCAGCCTCGTGTCAACTTCGACGACACGTGTAAGTGTGGGCAGAAGGCCGCCTCCAGGATCGTGGGCGGGACGACCACGGGCGTGAACGAGTGGCCGTGGCAAGCAGCGCTGATGTACGGTTCGCAGCAGTTCTGCGGCGGATCCCTGATCAACGACCGATACGTCCTGACCGCCGCCCACTGCACCGATGTGAGCACGGGACTGGGAGAGAAGCAAACGGGGGAAAGGAACCAAGAAGGGAAGATTTAATTGTAAAATCATCCTCTTTCATAATGATCACATGAATAATTAGATATAGAAGTGGTGACATTCATACCAACAGTAATTGTGATAATGACATATCTTTGTAGGGCATGAGAGCGTCTGAGGTGAGCATCCGTCTGGCCGAACACAGGCTGAGCACTTCCTCAGAGAGCAGTGTCGTTAGCCGGTCCGTGTCTAAGATCATCGAGCATCCGAACTATCAACCAGGTGATGAGATTAATGACATCGCTCTCGTTAAATTGTCATCGCCGGTCAAGGTGAGGATGTTTTCAGTAGCGGTTTTAGCTGAGAATAAGGTGCATATATACGGGTAACATTAATTTAGCATGTTTCATTTGATAAGCTAGTCCGCTATTAAGAGAGAATGATCAGTGTTGGCAGAGTTCTCAAACTGTTGAATGAGACGTACCTAGTTGTTTACACGGACGCAAGTTGAGGGTTCTTCCTTTTGTGGGTAATAATCATTAGCAGAAGATTAATGGCAGCGGCCGAGCAGGAGTGTTTGAAGCTTGACCACTTTGAGGAATTTGTTGAATAAGCAGGATGCGCGAGGGAAACATACAGAGGTTCCACTGCATGTAATAGGCAGCGAATACAAGGTGTATAATGGGCTATACAATCAGTGAGCATGTGATGGCAATAGCAGAACTGACAACACCATTAGGATATAGTGTGTCGGGAATGATCAGGCCATAGTACCTCCGTTCTCCTCATTTTGAATATTCATATGAGTGCATATAACACAATATTAAGTATATCGAGAGTGCAACACATACCATATACATATTTAAACCTGTTTAAACCAGGCCGAGAGGATTCTGAATTTCAGGTGAGCGACACAGTGTTGCCAGTGTGCATGCCGCCACCCAAACCCAAATACGGCGGCAGGACCGCCACTGTCACAGGTTGGGGAACCACCAGCTCCGGAGGCTCGTCTTCAGACACTCTGAGGGAAGTCGACGTCACGGTCAGTGCATGGAGGCGGACTTTTCATTGAACCAATGGATTTCATTTGGATTAAATATAAAATTGAACTAGAATGTAGCTTTACACGCTTTCCTTTCTTGGTGTGTAGCTATATTGATATCATTTGGCTCTAGAGCACTTACGTTAGCTTTGTCATCTGGTCGCAGGTGTTGTCCAACAGCGCGTGTCGGTCCGACAGTTATGGAAGGGCCATCAAGGATACCATGCTGTGCGCCGGAAGTGTAGGCAAGGACTCGTGCCAGGGAGACTCCGGCGGCCCTCTGGTGTTCAAGGACAGACGTGGAAACTATGACCAGGTGAGTGGGTGCAGGCGCATGCATGACAAGATTAGTGTTCGTCTGATAAAGAATGGTATTGGATCCATCATTATAGGTAGATTTTAAATTATTTCCTTAAAAAATAAACGCAGAATGAAGCATAGTTCTAACAGTGTAATACAATATACAAGCGGCTTTAACAGCCAACTGCATTGTAAAGGCACCCATGGCATTTATGAACACACCCTCCCATGACTTCCATCCCAAACAGATCGGCGTGGTGAGCTGGGGCTACGGCTGCGGAGACGAAGGTTTTCCTGGTGTGTACACCCGCGTCAACAGCTACCTCGACTGGATCAAGACCAACACAGCCGATGGCGTTTACTGCAAAGGAATGCGTCTTTAGCTCTGCCACTCCTGCT